GTTACTTGTTATTTCTTACTATAACTGCTAAATATAATATGGAGTCTGACAGTCTGTTTCCTTTTGAAAATATGGTAAAATTACTTGCCAGTGTTTGCACATCATATTTTTATCTGAGGAAACAATGTTTCATAAATATATCAAAAATACATACCAATCTTCACAAAAAAACACATTTATATGTCTTGGACTTTTTTCATAGAGTTACATCATCAGAGCGAAGCTTTTGGTATTGAACAAGTTCTTAGCTTTATACTAAAAGAATGTGACTTTTTTGTATTTTTTAAATTTGATCTTTATCTCTGAAGTTTTTAAGCAAAGGACCATAAAAAAGTAAACTGTACTGATATTTCAGAAACTATGAGGAAAAATGACAGAACGTTACTTAACCTTCTATATGTTTACATTTTAATCAGAAAAAAATCCACACTGCATGTGGATAGTTTTCAAAGCAACTACAAAATACTTTCCTTCACAATGGCCTTGTAAGGTAAATTAAAGCTTTTACAAATCACGGAGCATTGATTGAATAGCAACCAACCCCACCCATTAATGCTGTCAACATCACCGTTTGTTCCTTCTCCCGAGGAACTGAGAAGGAGCTCTTGGTGGTTGGGGAGCTAAGAGCAAGATGGCTCGCAGCTGCTGCTGACTGCCTGTGCTGTTCCATTCTAGCCAAAACACCTCCCCCCTAATTTCCTGTGTTTTAAAGTAATAGAGTCTCTGATATTACCGCCCCAGTGTAAGGAGATCAAATCAAAGGCTTGACTATCACAGAGAAATAATTATCCACTCTAGTGAGCACTGATGAAAATACCTCACTCTGTGGGCGCAGCTCGCCCTTCCTCACATCTCTAAGCTGAATCAGGTTGCCAGTCTCTTTTCAGCACAGTTTAAAGCATTATTAAGAATAGAGGGGATTACATGAAGGGATATTCTCAACAAAACTTCCAGATTTATTTCTCTTTTCCTTGCTCCTGGGTTTACTTTTCTTGAATGACACTGGCATGTTTAAGGTAAGTCACAATGTCGGATAAGAAAGACAATCTGCCAAGAGAGTGAATCCCAGCCCTCTCTCACCCCCATCCTCCTGTCTCCACTAAGAAGATTCGGTGACACTGGGCCCACCTGCCACATGGCAACTACTAGACCAGGGCTGCTGCACCCTCAGGTGAGGTGTTAAGTCTCCCCAGGTCCCTCCTCCAGCACAGCCCCTTTCTTTGTTTTATCAAGCTGGTACCTTTGGACATTTGAGTCTGGGACTCCATGGAGTAGATTGGTGTGAGTTAGGACCCTGGTCTGGAGAGTGAGCTGGGGACACCTAATCTACAGGGTGAGTTAGGGATTTGAGGTCTAGAGTGTGAGTTAAAGGCCTCTGATCTAGAATTCTACAGATAGGGAGCCAGGCTGGGCTTTTGAAATAAGTCCAGATCTCTACAATAAACTTCTTCCTGGAGATTTTTTTTAAACCAACAATGACTTGTCTCTGAGGACAGCTTCCATTCAAAACCATCTTTTCTGAGCTGGGCCACCAACAGAGAGACACATCTCTGATGTCTGTGTGTTTATTTTGTACCAGGCCCTGGGCTCATGTTTTATAGTTATTATCAAAGCAACTCTATGAAGTTAATTTGTCCCCATCTCAGAGAGGCAAAGTAACTGATTCCAGATCTAGTACATGGCATAATTTGAGCCCAGGTGATTTGCTTCCCGATCCTAACGCTAACAGTGAGAATAGTGTGCTGCCCCTCTTTCTGCAGGAGAGGACTTTATTTAACAAAGCAGCCAACAGTTGTATAGCTACATGCCAGATACTTTCTAGGAGCAAATATAAATTTATTCAATCCTAACAACCCTATAGAGACTACTATTATTCTCACCTCGCAGATGAGGAAACTGAGGCACATGGTTGCAAAGTACCTTGTCAACCCTCAGCAGTCAAAGTGCAGAGTCCTAACCACTGGACCACCAGGGAATTCCCCATAGAATCTGTTTTCTAAACTGTTGCTCCATGAGCACCCTGGAACTCTGTTCATTGAATATGTTAATGTTACAACCAATTTTTCATACAGCTGGTCCTTTAATAAGCATATTTTAAGCATTTACGATAATTGCCATGTCTATGCTGAGTGCAATTTATCAAAAGACACACAGACCTCCAATTAGAAGAACATGCACATTTGAGACAGTTGAATAATTAATGCAAAGCACTGGGCCCAAAGTGATATGATGTTTACAAAAACTTATGCTAAGATATGCTTATAAGTATTGATGTACAACTTTCCTTTACCCCGTTTGTGGCTTTCTTGGACTTCTCAGTTTGTAATTCCTCCCAAAACTTCTCTCTCTTGTGTGTTTGTGTTTTGTGCATTAACATTTTTTTGCATTGAACTCAAGACAATAACCTTACTTCACTGAGAGTGCAAGAGGATGTAGATTAGACCAGAAAAGCTGGATTTGTTCCATTGTCACAAAACTTCTCTGACATCACCAGAGAACAGGGTGTTCCTCAGAAATACATTCTCCTCTGAATGGAAATCTCTTTGAGCAGTAAAGAGATGTCATTCTGTTATAGCCACCGTCTCCGTGATTGCATTTAATGTGCTGCAAAGTCTGCCTTTGAAGCAGTGTTCTGAAACAACAGAACGGGGGGAATGACTTCATTATCATTATCAAGTGGGCCAGTGAAGTGCAAAAAGTCTTCTAAGTGACCTCAGACTGTAAAGTTTTTATAGTTCTTTTATCTAGTTTTATAATTCATTTTATTCCCTCTGATGTCCTCTGCCCCCTTGCAGGCTGTCACTCTTTTCTTGCTACTTTTATCCAAGTAGGGGCTCCAAGCCTCTACCACAAGACTTAGCACTAAACATAAGATGCCTGTAAGTTGTACACACACAGAATTAACTAACATTGAATCTCATAACCAGAAAGCTGTGTGTGCTCTTTTCAGTTCTTTTTAAGCTGTCTAATCAGTTTAGAGTTAGATGGCTAATTCTCCCTTTTGACAAAGATAGAGGAGGGCTGTGTGACTCAGCCTTTGGCAAAGAAGTCTCCTGCTAGAATCTGATAAGTGTTTTCTTTTTGTTGCGTTTATTGGTATGTAACTTTCTACTCAGGGTAAGTGATTCTGGTTTTATGCCCGTAAGGAATTCTCAGTCGAACAGCAGAGCCAGATATATGAACAAGTAACTATAATATAGTTTGGTGAGGGAACTAGTACGATGCACAGCACAGAGGAAGGAGTGGTTAACTCAGCTTGGGGACCAGGAAAGGAAGCGAAGGTCTGTAGGCATGAAATAGTATGCCTGGCTCAGGAACACCAGTAATTCAGTCCTGCCAAAGCAAGACATACACGAAAAAGAACGACACAACTGAAGGCTGAGTTAGTAGATAGAGGCCAGACTCTGAAGATTCTTCTGTATTATGCTGAGTATTTCCATTTCCGACAATAAGCAGTGAGATCCATTAAAAGACTGAAATTTTCTTTATAGCTGTATAGGATTAGTATAGACGTCTAAAAATAAGTGTAGGCTACGTTTCATTCCTTAGTCTTAACAGTTTATTCTCTTTTATAGTTTCTTAGTTCCTTTGTTTGGAAATCAGGGTTGGTAGTTAAATACTAAAAAAGTAAAACCAAATGAATCACAGAGTGATTGCCACACAAGCAGGCAGAACTGGGTCATTTTGCAATGAAATCCAGCTGTTTCTTCCAAGCCCAGGATCACTCTCTTTGTTTTTATTCCTATTCATAATAATGAAGATATATTGTATATAGATTAGTCTAAATCCAAAAAAGGATGAACATTTGAGTAAATGGATTCATCATGGTTTATATAACTTTTCTTGGAGTGCTTTATTTTCATTTGAAAAGTTGCATAAACCCACATGAACCTAAGTGCTGTGTTTCTGTTCTATCACGTGGATTTGAATGTGAGAGGCGGTGGGGATTTCCTCTGACCCTTCTTCCTTGTCTGCTGCCTAACCTGCTTCCTCTGTCTGGGCAGTGGGCAGCAGCCCTTTGCTGGATGCACTGACCACACTGACAGAGGCCAGCAGCCAGTGCTGCCCATACCTGGGGTTAGTCTCATGTTTTGTTGCTCAAGAGATAACCAAATTACAGCTCTATTTATAGCTATTAATTCTTGGTGGTTTTCCAGAAAGTGAGAAATAATGTTACAGAAAAAGAAGTTGTTTTTAAAATTAAAACTGCTAGAATATTCATTTCCCATATAACACACCCTTCTACTTTTACTGAAAACTATACAGATTGTACTATTCTATAGTTTCTACAGATTTGTCCTACTTCAAAGGGATGGTTCAACTGCATACCAAATTTTGCATGTAAATTTCCTTTATATTTAGAATTTCTGCTTATTAAAAAGAAATCCTGGTACCTTTTTCAATTTCTTTACTCAAATATTTATGTAAGTGCCATAAGAAATCATATTTTTAGTTTCCCAGAGAAACTTAAAACATGATGTTTTTGAAGTGTAGTTGGAAATAAGAAAGCATTGCTTAACAAATATCATTTCTCCCATTTTTAATCTTTAGATTTGCATGAATATCACTCTTAAGAAATTTTACATCTCATCTTGTCCAAAATCATAAAAACAATTGGCTTTTAAACCTAATACTCTTTCTCTTATATATGTCTTCTATATCTATTAATGAAAATATAGTCACTCAAATGAAATACTAAAATATAAAATTGCCTTAATTGAAATTGAAACATACATATATATATGCACACACAAGGTATTGTATTTCCACTTTAAGACATATTGATAATACTCTATATCTGCCAACTTTTAAGATTACTTTTGCTTTTTTTCTGGAATTAATTTAGAAAATATGTAATCCCTGTTAGTGTAACTTTATTTGAGATTAAGTCATATGAATGAGTGTGTTTTCTATTCATTAGTATTATCACACATAGATAGAATTAATATATAGTTCAACTTTATGAATGTGCAAATGTCTCTTTGCATTTGATATTTCAGCTTCACCAAACCCAGAAGTCATCAAGATAAATTCCATTCTTGATATAGTGACAGAAGTGGAAGACTACTATCTTAAAGGATATATTGTTGGAGCTATTCATCCTGTTATACAACCTGTGGGGCAGCAAAAACACTTGCCTGCAAGTTACCTATACAGGGTGGTGCTGTCGCGCTTGAAATTAAGGTAAGGCTGGTGCTCAAGAAAACTGTCATACTGAGAAGCTGTTAAGAGAGAAAGCTTTCTTTGGCTAAAAGAAAAGAAAGTTTGAACACAGTGATGGAGAATAAAGGATACTTAGGGGTTTTGGCTTAAAGGCACATTTTCCAACAGTTGAACTTGGATTGGGAGAAGAAAACGCCAATCTCCTTCCTTAAAACTTCTCAGGATTGAGTCCCTTGCAGACAAACAGGTCCTTGGTAAGGATGTCAGTGAACAGAAGAAAAGGAAAATAGACTCAAGAAGAGCGGGAACACTCCTGTAGCAACTTCACCAGATGAGGGAGTAACAGTTAACTCCCTCCAATCACTGGACTGAAAGAGCTGACTGAACAAATCCCCTTTCAGTGAGCATTTTTTCTGAAGTGTCTGATGTAGTTTTACTAACAGTGGCCACAGAAACTAACTTCCAAAACTTCTACAGCAAAAAGGCCTACATGCTAAGTTCTCATAAACTGGATCTCTCTGGATCATAAAAGAGATCTCTCTTACCAGCTTTTTCCAAAAAATAGGAGGTAAAAGTCATGCTTTTTAGATTTTTTTTTTAGCTTTTTAAATTATAATAGCTGCTTTTCCAGACAATACCACAAATGTTTTTCCTAACCTAGCTTGTACATTTGATAGTATTCAAAATACTGTTGTTCCTTACAGGTGGAAAAGTAAAAGTAACCAAACCAATGTCTTTGATACACACATTAAATATTTGTTACACAACTCTTCAACTGTATCAAAATCATCTCAAAGACAAGGGTAGAATTGTGTTTTCTCTTTACAGTGATGGACTAATAATCACTTTAACTGTGAAAGGACTAAGCAGAGAAGGGAAAATGAAATAAGAGGGAAAGAGAGAAAACAGAAAGATTGGGGGAAAAGAAAAGGCTTTAAAAAAAATTCCCAATGTGCTTTTAGGAACCCTGTCTGCTACTGAATAACTAACTGCCCACTTGGACATTCTGAGAGGACATGTACACAAACAGCTTTCTCCATGACAGGGCGCCACATCAGGTCTTTACTAGTTCAAGCATTACTAGGTAAATAGGCCACTTACCACACAGTAGCAACACTTTATGTCCTAACTACAAATCTTACAAACCATGGATAAGTTGTTTTTCTCTTTTTGCATTACTTCAAATAGATTTAGCAGTTCCCTGCCATGGCTAAGAATATTCAAGGGGAAAAGGTGAGAAAAGAAGAAAAAGATAGGACAATATTTATGTGCACTTAAAAAGGATCACTTTTGCACAATAATGAGGTATAGCTGTGATCTAAAATCATTTCTCATAACTTATCAAAACAACGGACATGTAGTTTTTCTTTCATGTTAAATTAGAAATTAAATTCTTAGAGATTTTAACCAAGGAAATCTCAATAGAAATTATTATGTTTTTTCTGATAATTTTACATAAGAAGACAACCATAAGTTGAAATAACAAAGAAAAAGGAATACCTTGACCTTATTTGTGAGTAGCTCACTCATTTTCACATGAACTTATTAGTTAAAAATTAGCAATTGGCTTCCAATCATAAACATATTCTCTGTTACAGCACGAAGCATTCGACAGCACCCAGTGGACAAAGACGCCCAAGGCTTGTGATTGAGGAATGTCCTCTAACTTATGAGACACAAACAAATGACGTAACAAAAGAACTGATAGAAAAGGTACTAAAATACGTGTTTTTTATATTTCTTCATCAGTTTCCTTTCCTGCTTTAAAAAGAACAGGGAAATGATAGGTGACTTTGTCTTCTAGACTTTAAAACAAATTGAAGCACATTACCAAATTGTAGAATTAAAAACAGAAATAGAGGCCAGTGAAACAGAATGGAAATGCCAGAAATAAATTAATACGTATATAGAAAGTTTCATAACAAACCTGATAAATAAAATGGAGGAATAACTATTACTTAGTAAATGGTGCTGGGTAAAATGGGCAATCGATCGGTAGATTCCACACATTTCACATAAAATAAAGAGGTAAGTTTTTCAAGTTCAAAAAATCCAAAAGAAAATGAAAGACTGGACATATTTAATTATAAAAGTAGGTTGAGGAATTTTGAATATATAATTGTATACTAGGAAAAAAAGAATCCAGAGAAATGGTCAAGAAATGTGCCTTACGGAAGCTTCATTTTCAGAGTATATAGGAAATGAACACAAAAGCATGAAAGTACATTCAGTCTTGAATGGACCGACAATCCATAGAAAGTACAAAAGGAAACACAAATAATGAAGAAACATTTCGCAAAGGGTTCAACCTAACTAATAATTTTTAATGTAAGTAGAAACTGAGAAGTAATACCTCACCAGTATGAACTGAGAAATTAAATTGAAAATATTAAATTCAATGCTGTAAAGACCTTTAAGAAAAAATTCAAATATATTCATATATAATGCAATTATCATTGGAATAAATTAGTACAGTGAATATCAATTTGGTAATAAAAATCATAAATCTTGTTTTATTTTTCTTTTTAGGAATCTATTCCAGGAAATTAACTGAAAAGGGAAAAGTCATATTTATACAAAGATACCTTAATCAACAGTGAACAGGGGCCAAATTCTCAATAACTGGAAAACTGAGAAGGAGGCAATTGTCTATCAATAAGATAGAATACTTTATGGGCATTGAACATGACAAGTACATTGGCTATTGAGAGAAAAAAATCTATTCAATATAACTTAATAAACCTTAAATGAAAAATTAAACACTATATGTATATTGATTGAAAAAATTGTACATTCATAAGTATTTGAAGTTGACAGGATTTGATGGCTAAAGTTTGGATTTTTTTAACTTTAGTTGCATTGACATATGTGTAAGGTTTAGCTCTATTTAAATGAATACAGCCAAAAACCTAAGGCATTTCCTGTCAAATAAGAAACTGTGAAATTTGTTCACTGTTTCTATTGTATTGTTCCCAAGCTTTAAATGACCATGTGAGTAAGACTATCTGTGGCTTGTGTTTTGCCAGTTATAGCAGCTAAGTATTTCCCATTTAGATATAAAGTCACCATTCAGTAAGGTTTTTTAGGAACAGTTTTCAAAACTAGATTTTTATAAACAAGGTACTCACACTATTTACTATTGCTATTCTGGGAAATATTTTTTTATGGGAATAAATTCACTCTAGAAACAAAAATGAAACTGCTAATTTAGTCTTAATAGATCATCATGAGAGCCCTTGTTTTGCATTTGACTTCCTGAACAAAGTTAAAGATCTGTTTAAACAGGAAAGTCCTGTTATTTCAGCAATTAGAGTAATGGGGTTATTTTATGAAGAGAACAGCTTCAGGAAACATAGCATGTGAAATGTTTGAACATTGCCCTGTGTATGAACAAGAGCAATAGATAAGTGCCCAATACTATTTTTGAACAAATGCCTTATATAAAGAGTTGATTATTGAACAGCTAGATGTTATTTTAATATTATGTCAATGTTTGCTCTTTTTTAAATTTAGATTTACAAATGTTTTCCCTAGGCTTTCTAAATAAAAAACATTAAAAACATCAGTATTCCAAATTAAAAATGGAAAAGACAGTAATATTCCATAAGATAACCAAACTTTTCCAGACAAAACTTTTTAGTAATAGAGAAAGCCTTCTGCACTTTTTCACCCAAATCAACAAATAAGACCTAGAAAAAGCACTTTGACCTGCCTCCTTACCACATCTCCTCTCCTCTCCCAGGAGTCCTGATATAAAGAACAATTTATGGTTATTTTTGAGGCTTCTTGCAGTGCTACAATCTTAATGTGTTAATTTATAGGAGTAAATGATACTGTGTCAGCAGTGTTTGTCCTAGCTCCATATACCCACACCCTCTGCCTGGCTCAGAATTCCCTCCTCTTCAGCCAGAGCTAAGTTACAATCGGCCCCTTTAAGTGGACATTGCTGCCTGATTTCACCCTGCTGCTGCTTCTTTTTTTAAAAAATACTTATTTATTCGGCTGCGCAGGTCTTAGTTGGGCTTCCCCAGTGGCTCAGCAGTAAAGAATCCGCCTGCAATGCTAGAGCTGTAGGAGACACAGGCTCGATATCTGGGTCTGGACGATCCCCTGGAGGAGGGCAGCAACCCACTGCAGTATTCTTGCCTGGAGAATCTCATGGACAGAGGACTCTGGCAGGCTACAGTCCATAGGGTTGTGAAGAATTTGTCACAACTGAAGTGACTTGGAACGCACACATGGTCTTAGCTGTGGCATGCAGAATCTTTAGTTGTAGCATGCAAACTCTTAATTGTGCATGTGGGATCTAGTTCTCTGGGCAGGGACTGAACTTGGGCACCCTGCACTGTGAGCACGGAGTCTTAGCCACTGGATCACCAGGGAAGTCCCTCACCACTCTGCTTACTGGCCTTTTTCATTCCCCTTCATTTCTGACTATAGATGTTTGCACTTGCAATCTGCATCATAACTCTTTCTTCCCCTTCCAAGTACATTTAAAACATTTAAAGCAGTGCCAATATAAAAGATGTTGCTATTTCTTCATTTTAACGTATTTAACAAATACTTATAGAGCACCTATAGGTACAAAACATTGCAACATGAAAATGAGTAAGATAGTGCCTACCCTCAGAAGAATTGTGTTTAACACAGGAGGAAGACAGGACACAAAGAGAACAAAGAAATGATGCAAAAGCAGAGAAAGAAAAGTGCCAAGTGTGAAAATAATCACTCTTAAGCTCTCAAATGATTTCACTGGCATTGTCATGTGTTTCTGAACCCTACTCAGTAACTGACAAGATTGAATCTAATTATGTGTATTTGGCCCAGAAAGGAGACAATAGCTTCAAGATATGAGCAGATCAGAGTGGGAGAATGAATTTGGCTTATGTATACACATACACATTTGTCAAGAATGTCTTTTAACATTTTTCTTTACCTACATCAAGCTAACAAAGCTGCATGTTTTCTGCTTTTAAATTAATGTCTCTTCTTTATTAATTAAGATGTATTTGGTAATGTTATTTTTGAGCCTTTCTTAGAATAGTTTTATATTTTACTTCAACTGCAGAAACTATTGTTAACAGGGCTGCAAAAATCATGCTATAGAATTATCAGTTCTTCCCAAATAATAACCTTTTGGAGAAAATACAATTCTTGTTTTCATAATTTCTAAAGTGTATTAATTCTGTTTGAAGAAGTCAGAATAATAGTGTGACACTGTCTTAGGCTTGGTGCTGTGTTAGAGGTCATTAGTTTGTTTATGAATAGGCCTTTAGTTACTGGTAGATTTACTGCTTTCCTAATGGATTTCCTTAATAAACCTAAAGATTAATTGATAAGGTAATCAATGTAAATGAAGTTTACATTTTGTTCTACCATCTCTTTTTAAACCTCAGGTTAATGTAGCTGCTAAAAGAGGAATGAGATTTGTTGGATTCATATCACAGCACTCCCCATCACTTAAATTCTGCAATGGAACCAACCATGATGGAGACATTGAATCAACACTGCATGTGAGACACAGTCCAGAGGAAAACTGTAAAATCTGGAGTGAAGGAACATTAAGTGGGCAGTCATCTGAAAGTGGAATCGAGGAAGAACTACATCATGAAAGCGGACATTGTCAAATGGAACGAGATGGCAGCCCCAGTTTCTCTAGATCAAGAAAAGAAGGTAATAATAGACAAGAAGAGTAGAAATAGGATCTATATTCGTTTAAATTTAGCAAAAATATGTCTTGAAGGGTTTTTAACAAATATGAGACAAATTATATCTCTAAAGACTAATGAATAAACTTGTATAAACTTGCCTTGATTTTTTTTAATTATTACAGATGGATGTAAGGTAGGGCAGTTTTCCAAACAGTTACCCCTAGCATGGTCATACACCATCCACGTAATGAAACTTTGTGTTAAAAATTGGGTTCCATTTAGTCATGAGCCAAATGGAGGCTGTGCATGTGTACCAAAAAAGTGATTCTGTAAAGAAAGCTGTTCTAATTTATGTTTTTCCCTAAAAAGAGTCTGTGAGAATTTTAGTTTTGGCCTTTCCCATTTCATGGATGGTTTTCACCTTTGAAGTTAATTGGCTTCCTTTAATCACCAATTAGAATATGAGAATGCACATCATGGTGAAACAATTAATGTAACAATAGTGCCTGCATCCTTACATAACTTTAAACAATAGTTTTATTCTTCTTTGCAGCTAGCAAGTCTTCCCAAGAAACTGAGAGAATTTTGGACTGTTCTAAGTTTTCTGATACTTTTATGGGCATGCTTTAAAAAGCACTAGTAAAAAACTGTGTAAACCTTAGAATTAGGAGTTTACAGTCAGACTGCCTCAGTGTCTTTATAGAAAGGTGTTGCTGTGATAAATAGAAATGAGATGTCTACAAAAGTGCTTATTCTGCCTGGCACAGAATAGACTGTATTAAGTTAGCTGCTATTAACTTATCCTTTGATCAGTCTTGGTGCTGAGGCCACATGCACTGGTGGTATCAGCTTTTTGGGTTGTGAGATTGCTCAATATTTGTGCACAGCAGACACTCATTGGACCATAGTCAGCATGGCCTCCTTAAGAAAGAACCAAGAGCATTTCCCAACTCATCATCTCACCACCTCACCACCACCAACACCGTTCCATTTTTTTTAAACTAGTTCTTTAGCTAACTACCACCCTGATTTTCCTGCAGTGTGAAAAATTTAGGAATGTAAGAGTGAACAAGTGTTGGAATTATGGTCAGAGAGCTACCTATTATATTCTGTCCACATGTGTGCTGCATGCTAAGTCCGACTCTTTGCAACCCTATGGACTATAACCCACCAGGCTTCTCTGTCCATGGGACTCTCCAGGCAGGAATACTGGAGTGGGTTGCCATGCCCTCCTTCAGGGGATCTTCCTGACCCAGGGATTGAACCCAAGTCTCTTGCATCTCCTGCGTTGGCAGGAGGGTTCTTTACCTCTAGCACCACCTGGTATCCATGGCTACTTTTAAACTCCTGCTCATTCCCATCCTGAGTTTGATTAGATCAAATGTCTATTCCTCATCTTTTAAATTAATTATCAATCTTTAGATTCTGCCTTCTATTTAGTTTATTTTAAAGCCCTTATAACTGTTCTATGCCAGGGCTTGGTTCTTAACTTTTGGTGCAGGGGATTGAGAGTGGACACATAATAAAGACTTCTTGGAGAGTCTGATGAAATCCATGGAGACTCACCCAGAAAAACACACGTAACACACATATCCCTAATACTGTCTGTGATGCAAATGACGTTAGACTTCCTAATGCACAACCAGTGATGTGGGTCCATGGACCTCCAAGTTAAGAATTTGCTAACTTAAAGTAGAATGCATTCTGGAATCACTTTCATATACGTATCCAAGGAATGAATAATGTTTGTAATAATAGAAATTCAGTAATAATATCTAATTCCATCAGTAGGAGAAAAGTAAACTCTAATGTGATGTAACAGTTAAACTAAATGAGCAAGACCTACATGTATTAATTACACTTCTAAAGCATCATGTTGAACAAGAAAATTAACTTATAGATTGAGACATACAACACACCATTTCTTAAAAATTTTAAATTGCAAAACATCACTTATGTGTATAGATATGTATTTTAAAGAAGAGAAGTACTTGCATGAGAATGATTAACACCGAATTCATTACAGTAGCTATTTCTGGAGAATAGGATTAGGGGAGATACATCGTGAGCCTTAACTGCATACATCTCTTATTTCCTTGAAAAAACTCTGAGACAAACATGGCCCAAAGTTAACAGCTGATAAAACTTGCATGGTAGGTAATTTTATTATCCTCTGTGCCTATTTGTATGCTTGAAATAGCTCATGATTAATTAAATTTAAAAAAAAAACAATTTTAGTAATTCTTTTCCTTTTTTCTTCCTTCTGAACACCTATTCTCAGATAACAAGTTGTATACAGTCTTCAATGTTTTTGATGATGAATCAACCTCCTGGAACTATCAGGAAGGCATCCTGTCAATGAAAGTAACAAGAAAAGGCTCTGTCATTAGTACACTTGATGCTGATTGGCTGGAGTTAACTACATTTTATTATAAACAAGGCTTGTCTTTAATTGATTCTTTTGTATGCTGGGAAACATCTAAAGGTAACTTTTATATTATGATATGTTGATACCTAAAAAATTTGACCTGTGTCAGAGTTGGAGGAAATGTTTTTGCCTCTCAAGTTCAATGGCTAAAAGGACAGATATTACTACTAAGAAAAAAGATTCTAATTATTGCACAGTTCAGTTTAGTTCAGTCACCCAGTCGTGCCCAACTCTGCGACCCCATGAACCACAGCATGCCAGGCCTCCCTGTCCATCACAAACTCCTGGAGTTTACCCAACCTCATGCCCATTGAGTCGGTGATGCCATCCAGCCATCTCATCCTCTGCCATCCCCTTCTCCTGCCATCAGTCTTTCTCAGCATCAGGGTCTTTTCAAATGAGTCAGCTCTTCGCATCAGGTGGCCAAAGTATTGGAGTTTCAGCTTCAACATCAGTCCTTCCAATGAACACCCAGGACTGATATCCTTTAGGATGGACTGGTTGGATCTCCTTGCAGTCCAGGGGACTCTCAAGAGTCTTCTCCAACACCACAGTTCAAAAGCATCAATTCTTTGGCGCTCAGCTTTCTTTATAGTCCAACTCTCACATCCATACATGAC